CTAGCTACCACCTGAGCTGGAACAAGGACTGTACCAGGGGAAAGGATTGGGTCCAGACTAGGAAGGAGTCTAGTCTGTGAAAGAATCTTATTGAATCATCTGTGAGGGTGAGATTTACCTGTATTCAGTTTCTTAATGTATTAGGCTTAGACTTTCATGTTTTGTTTTATTTTGCTTGGTAACTTATTTTGTTCTGTCTGTTATTACTCGAAACCACTTAAATTATACTTTTATACTTAATAAAATCATATAGACTTTTGTTTATTAACAAACCAAGAGTAAGTGATTAATACCTGGAGGAACAAACAGCTGAGCATATCTATCAGTGTTATAGAGGGCGGATAATTTATGAGTTTACCCTGTATAAGCTTTATACAGCGTAAAACGGATTTATTTGGGGTTTGGATCCCATTGGGAACTGGTGTCTGCGTGCTGGAGAGAGCTGAGCAGACTTTCAGTTAAAGCCTGCAGCTTTGGGGGCATGGTTCGGACCTGGGTCTGTGTTGCAGCAGACTAGCGTGTCTGGCTCAACAAGGCAGGGTTCTGGAGTCCCAAGCTGGCTGGGAAAACGGGCTCAGAGGTAATTCCAACACGTCAGGTGACAGTCCCAAGGGGGTCTCTGTAACCAAACCTGTCACACATACATTCAGGGGAACTGGATGAACAAACTGATTTTTCTATTATGTATCTTCATAGTTTATTGGTCAGCTGGTCACCATTGATCTGATTTGAATTATCTTTGATATCTAAAGAACAGGAGTTCCAATATTGAGGTATGGCATATCCAGAACAGTTCAAGAGAAGATAGTTCATCAATGGACAGCCACATGGCACTGTTAAGTGGGTGACTCTCAAAATTATTCCAAACATCCTGTAAATTCTATTTCTGTGCTCCTTTTCCCATAAAATAAAATGGCGTATTAAGTAAGTACTATAAATTGTTTTCTAGATTTATAACAGTTCACAGGGTTTTCATGAGGTTTGACATAAAAATCTCACATAACAAAATCTTAAGATGGCTACTGCCAATCCTACAATATATTACAACATAAGCCATTAAAAAGTCAATGTTTCCCAACCATTATCATACAGTTCCTGCAAATATCTCTTATGCTACATATAAAGAGAAACTATGGTAATCTTGGATATTACAATATGTTAGCTGTTGACAAATGCTGAACGTATTTTAATGACAGCCACTGAACGTAGAAGGATGTTAAATATGTTAAGGTTTAATACATTATGTTAACCTTGTAGTCTTGTATTTGTATGCTAGACTATCTCTGGCTGTGAAATGTTCTGTGCTGCAGTACTTTTGCATGAATGACACTATATAATGATGCACTGTATTTACTAGAGGAATAAACAATAGGTTTAGCTTTCACTCAAGTATTGTGACTTCAAGTCATTTTATTTATATGTCAGTAGTTCAGAATGTGCAGTGGACCAGGCATTTCATTCCCCAATTCACCTTCGTCAAGGAAGGGGCCAGGAACATTTGCATTGCTGTATCTCTGGAGCAGATATAACTCGGCCCTATAGCCCTTGCAGGGATGTGCTACGCTCCATTTTATGTTGGTAACACCGGAGCAACCTATTTACTTTTAAATTTATAAAAATGCACCTGCCGCCAATGTCCCCTGGTACATGTGCAGCTGGAAAAGTTACAACACATTGACAGAGTCAGTGCAAATAAATTCTCACCAACAGTCAGCCTCCAAAGGAAAAGGCCTAGAGAAAACAATGAATGGTTCTTTTCTAGCCTGTGATGGGGTGTCCACTCAACACAGGAGTGGAAGGGATTAATGGAGGCCAGATGGGCCAATTAACCTGGTAGACTGAATGCTGAGGGGAAGTCCTAATTAAAGAACAGGCTCACCTGTGCAGAAACGGGGGGAAGGGGGGACTATATAAATCCAGGTAGCTGGCTGTAGACAAGGGTTGCAGGGAAGTAGGCTACATCCACTCCCTGTGTGGAGGGAGTTGGGAGAATGGCAAACCCAGAGAGGCGGGGAAGCCAGATAAGTAGGAAGAAGCCCAGGGAAACAGCAGCAAGGGGTAGGATGGTACAGAGATCTTGGCTGTTTGTTTTAGGGTCACTGGGCTGGAACCCAGTGTAGAGGGCGGGCCTGGGTTACCCTACCAGTCACTGGGCAGTGGCACAGGGCGTTGGAGACGCCAGCCAGACAGCGGGTCTGGAAAGACTTAGAATTGCTCAGCATGGGAAGACCTTAGTGGCCTGGCTGAAGGGCCAAGCCACGAAGAGGCGACTGCAGTCCCTGGAGTGAGAGGGGTCACAGGGTGAGACAGCAAGGGGCAAGACACCGCTAGAAGGGCAGGGCAAGCCTGGCAGAGCTAATTCCCAGGGTGGCCAGCAGAAGGTGCTACTAGCAGAGAGTGGACCCCATGACACCACCCCACATAAAGGCACCAAAATGGGCCATCAGACAAGTGTGGGGAATATAAGTTCCAAAATCCAGGGTCCTCCACTGACAATGCCCTGCCCCCAAATGCCAACATGGTCACAACACCTGTGGATGGTCAGGATGCCTGAACTGATCTCAGCTGATACAAAAGCACCATTGTTAGAGGTTTCTCCATACAGATTTAGGCCCCCATTCAGCAAGGCACTTAAGCCTCACTCTTGAGGATGTGAGTAGTTCCATTTGGTTCACTGGAATTACTCACATGTTAAAGTTAGACATATGCTGAACCAGGGCCGTAGGGTTGGATTTAGCACAGAGAAGTCAATGGGGATCTTTCCATTGACGTTAATGGGCTTTGATCGATGGCAACACTTTGAATTTCAAGTCTAATCCATTGCATAGTATTTGTAACATGCAGCTATAATTGTGGGTCTCAGCTATTTCCTCGGTGGGGGGGGAGGCGGAGGGGAGGAGAGAGTAAGGGGCACACAAACAATCCTTTATCATCTTTAAAACAGTCCAGTGAGGGAAGGAGTATTCAAACATTCAGCCAAAGCAGTAAAACCTTCTGCAATATTACACCACCTGATTCAGAGGTACCTGAGCTATAGGTTTTGTCATTTTAACATAATGTAAACTATTAACTTTCATTACTGCCCTGGGTAAATAATACTCATGCAGTATCTATCGGAAGGAATAAATATTGGCATATGATGCTGATAAAACACTGCTTTAAACTTTCAGGCCAGAGCACAGCCTGGATTGTTCTGACTGACAATATCTTCTTCTCACTCCTGATATAAATTCCTTGTCCCAAAGCAGCCTTTTATGTGCTTCTCTATATGAGCGAACAAACAGCCACAGAATAATAAAGCCCCAAGAGCCCCGCTCTGTCCCAGCTCTCTTGGAAAGGCAAGGGTGGCAGCTGAGCGCCACAAGAGGTATGCTGTCTGTGCCTGGCTAGGCCAAAGTGCCAACCTTGGAAGTGCGTATTTGAATCCACTCAACTGATGTGGACACAGCGGTAAAATGAGGAGAGATGCCTGGATGGATTTGAAGAGCCAGGCTGCAACTTTATTAAACTTTAACACAGGGGAGGGGCACTACACACCTATCGCTCATATTCTCCTATATCAGGATATTTAATTACTACCAGTGCGGGGGTTATAGGGCTCCTTACTATATAACCCATATCTCGGAATAGGCTCTCCTCAGCCTGCCCCCCCAAGACTCAGCTCTCCGAGTCCTTGCACCCTCCCCATTCCAAGGAGGAGAGAGGGTGCAGAAGGGTGGGGACCCTGGCCCGCAAAGGCCACCAAGTCAGACCCTATCCCGTGAGCCCAAGGCCCATCACCACAATCCCAGATCTTTTTATCTCTGGGAATCGTCCATTTTATTCTCTTAACTGCCCTGGAAATCGGCTGCAAGTTGCGACCAACAAACAACTCAACCCCAGTATCTCAGTTAGGTACCAAGTGCCTTCTTACTTAACCCTCGGTGGTTTGAAGGTGCTGCAAGGAAGGCAAAAAACTCCCTGGTCTTCTGCCAATTGGCTCATGGGAGAAGAAATTCCTTCCTGACCCCCAAATGGGCAACTGACTAGACCCTGTCAGGATGGGTTCCCATTCCTAGTTTGGATGGGTAAGGTGTGGCTGCTGGAATGGAGCCGAAAGAGGCTCCATGTGGCCCCTGCTCCAGGTGAAATCCTGGAAGCTGGGGAAGGCTGGCCAATCAGCACCCACTCCTCCCCAGCTGGCCAATGGGTGCCAGAGACTCCTGAGGGGAGGAGCTACCTAGCGTTCTTAGCAAATGTCTGTCTCCTCGCTATTGGGACTGTCCCCTTTCGCCACCCACCCCATCAAGTTCCCCCCATCATTGAGGCAGGTGGGTGCCTGACTAGGATTATTTAAGCAGTGAGCTCTGCCTAATAAAATCATCACATAGAAAAAACGGAACATAAACATACAAGAAATAAATCTGAAAGTATTATTTACACCTGCACTTCTGCTGAGTGCATGCAAAGCAGCCTGACAGCCTGGAACAGCCGTGAGGCTCTTAATGCTCTTTTCCAAACTGAGGTCCAGTGATCTCCGCCAGCAGCAAACACCAGCTGCTGCTCCACAGCGAGGTGCAACAAACACTGAAGAAAGGAGTTATTGAATAACCTCTCCACAAGGATAGTTTCTTCCCAACTGCCATTACCAAGAGGTTGGTTTATGCCCTGAACCTAAAGGTCTTATAGCCCTTCTAAAACTCTTGGCTATTTTTAAAAATCCTTTCTAGAAGATCCAGATGTATCAATATAAATGTCCAATCCTTCTTTGAATCCTGCTAAGCTCTTGGCCTCCTTGTGACAATGAGTTCCACAGGCTAAGTGAGCATTGTGGGAAAAAGTATAAATCAGTGCCTCATAACTGTATTAAATATAATAAAGTATAACTACAGTGTATCACTAAGTCTTGCTACATTTCTTTAGTGAAGCTCCTGTACTTCTAGTGACAATTAATTGAAAGCCCTATGTAAAAAAAAAAAGACAAGTCTGTCATTCAACGAATGCAGTTAATCTCAATCTACCTTTGGAAGCCTCTGTGCCAAATGGATTTTCTAAGATGTCCATCACATCTTGGCTCCAAGCGTCTTTCACAGCAGACTTGGACACCACCCTGTCATTCAGACTCTGCTGCGGTCGGAAGTTATTCCTCAGATACTCCACAGACTTGACGTGATCTTGCTGTTCTGTGGTAAATATGGAATAGAACGCCTCCAGCTGAATGTGGCCATCAGGGCAGGGAAGAAAAAAAAGAACATTAATTAGAAAAACAATGTGGTGAAATCCGGGTGGCTGATAAGAATGTAAAATGGCAGGAAGCGCTGATGCTAAGACTGACTTTGAGTCTGACACAGGAAAGAAAACATTTGTTCTTGGATTCCCTTGTCTTCAAGCATTTAATATGTGCACAGACAAGCCCCAAACCCCCTGTACCTCCCTCCCTCTGTGCTTATATCATGTTTCTTAATATTATACTGAGAAGTGTTGTACACTCATTCATTACATCACAAAATCGTTCTTCTGTATATAGTCCCCCTACTTACTTATACTGACATGTAGCTGTTAGGTTGCTGTTTTCATTGATAGATTTCAAATCATTTTACAAAGGAAGGTCAATAGCATCCTCCCCATGTTACAGATGGGGAAACTGAGGCACAAAGTGACTTGCCCAAGGTCAAACAGCAGGTCAGCAGGTAAGGACTAGAACCAAGATCTTCTGACCCCTTGTCCAATGTCCTGTCCACTGGGCCACACTGACTTTTTCTCTCTGCTGCTTCACTACTAAGGGAGAAAACCCTAACCATGCTCCTGGTATTTATTTTGTGTGGCACGTTATGTGGTACATTTAATTCTTTCATATTCTCTCCAAGAGAACAGGTTGCTGTTTCCTATGCTGCATGTAGATCCAGGCTATTTTTACCTATAACATATTAATTCCTAAGATATAATTGTAGTTTAAAAGTGTATTCTGTTAAGAAAAAGCACAATATTTCCTAGAGAAAAATTACTGGCAGACTGAATTGAAAAGATTCAGTTAAGTTGTTTGTTCAGTTGGTTGCTGAGGTCAATACAGCATTTATTAAAAGCTTGTTATCATTCAGATCAAGAACTAGAATTAGTAAGGAAGACTGAGCAGTACAGAACAGTATAAAGAATCTAATCCTGCTCTCCTTGAAATCAACGCTTTTGATTTCAGTGGAAGCAGGATCTGGCCCAGAGACTTTAGAGGGGCCTTGAGTTTCTCTTACAGCTTAATGACAAACCATGGTTTGAAAGCTATACCAGCCTCCTTTTCATTAAGTATATTTACACTAAAAGCTACAGAGACGGATGTGACAGTTCTGAGACACAAACTAATGACCCAGGGAAAAAAAAACTATTCTACTGTCAACCACATCATAGCCTCAGTTGATAGCTTCTCTCTAAAAAAAATCAGCTTAACAGACCTGTCAAGGGTTCCCCACTGGAGTCCGGGCACCCACTAAAATCATTTAATTTCCCCCACAGATCAGCAACCTTGAAGCACCCATTCTGTGACGCTGTCCAGGCCGCTCACTCTGCCGTGCTCTGTGGTTTCTAGCTACTCAACTGAAACCTGTAAAATTTCTTCTGATCATTAGGGCCCATTTTGTTTCAATAGGAGGCCCGGCTGGAGCTTGACGGTATGTCGGGCCTGCTAATTCGAGACAAAATTTAGAATTCTCGCATTGGCAGCCTCAGTGGTTTGAGCATTGGCCTGCTAAACCCAGGGTTGTGAGTTCAATCCTTGAGGGGGCCACTTAGGGATCCGGGGCAACAAAATCAGTACTTGGTCCTGCTAGTGAAGGCAGGGGGCTGGACTCAATGGCCTTTTAGGGTCCCTTCCAGCTCTATGAGATAGGTATATCTCCATATTTATTTAAGGGATTTGTTATACATCTCTAATCCTGAGTCTGGCAATTTAGGATGAAGGTAGGGAACTTGAAACCGAGTATCAAGTAGGGTTACCATATCTGAACTTCCAAAAAAGAAGACACTCCAGTGGGGGGGGGGGGGTAGCACCGCCCCCTAGTCACTCCCTCCCACTTCCCGCCCCCTGACAGCCCCCCCAGAAACCCCGACCCATCTAACCGCCCCGCTCCCTGTCCCTGACTGTCCCAACCCCTCTCCACACCCCTGCCCGCCTAACAGCCCCCCCCGAATTCCCAACCCATCCAATCCCCCCTCCCCCCGCCGCTCCCTGTCCCCTGACTGCCCCCCTTCTCCAACTCCCCGGCCCCCTTACTGTGCCGCTCGGCTTAGGGCAGGTATTTGGCTCCATGCCCCAAGGAGCTCCCCGCCCCGCCCGAGTGCTGCCGAGCGGCGTGCTGAGGCTGTGGAGGAGGGGGGAAGCGGCTCTGGCCGCCACTGCCAGCCCTGCCGCCGCGTTCCCTCGCAGGCACACAGCCCCGCCCCACCGCTAAGGCTGCAGGGGATGGGGGGAGCCGGGAAGGGGCTTTGGCTGCCGAGGCCCCAATGCGAGCAGCGCTCGGCCACCCTGTCAGCCGCTTTTCGGTGGATAAATAGCTGACCGGGGGGAAATCCCGGACATTTTTAGATTTCTAGAAATCCCCACCGATGGCTATTTAAAGATCGAAAAGCTGGACATGTCCGGGGAAACCCAGACGTATGGTAGCCCTAGATCAAGAGAATTCATCTGCCCTCAAATTAATACATCATCGATGATAACTTGGGCCTATACAGCCTTTTATATCAGAAGAGCTGATATCACTTTGCAAACAGTGATCCTCACGACTCCCCAGTGGAATACAGAACTATTAACCTCATTACACAAATGGGGAAATGGAGGCGTAAGTAACACACACTGAACAGTCCAACACCACAGCTCTGACTGACCCTGTGTTATCTACTTTGTGGGAATGTGGAGAACTTCCATTAGTCAACTCCACACAGTGATGTCATTTCAGGTCTTTTTTTAATGTGCGCGCCATTGTCCAGTCCATGCCTTTTAAAGAGGTGGGCATAGTATTGATCATCAAGCATCAACAGTGATAAAGAAATTAAATGTTCCCTCATCGATGCAGGCAACTGAAAGATGCCAGAATGAAATCTGGGTCGGGGAGGTGCTTAGGCTGGTTATATTTCACATCAAGAACTACAATTCGTTATATTGCAATAAGAAAAACTCAAAGGATCCAATCCTGCTCCCATGGAATCTCTAACCTGCATTTACAGGGAAAGCTAGAGGCATCGCACCTAGATAGATAAAAGGGTGGCGAGACTATTACCCTACACTTTTCTTATGAGGGAGGAAGGGAGGGAGAGAAAACACGTGGTTCCTGATAATCCCTCTTGGGCCCCGATTCTTCAAAGACTTATGCACCTGCTTAACTGTAAGCGCTGGGAACAGTCTCATTGAACTCGATGGGACTACTTGCAATGTACAAAGTTAAGCTGATGCATAAGGTCTATGCAGATCAAGAATTTACGTACTAACTGCTCACTCTAAGTTAAGTCTTTACCTTTCTACTTCCATGACATTAACCTGACTTTTAAAACCCTTTAAAAGAACTTTTCAACTATTTTCTTCTGGCAAGCTACCTTGGGGAGGCATAACTGCATTTGAACTGCTGCCGTTTCAAATGCAATTTTAACTTTCCTTTTTACATGCTGATGTATAAAACCAAAGTTGAAATGATTTATTACAAAAATATTATGTAACACAAATTAGCTATTAATTGATCCATCACTGCTGGCAGAACAGAGGAAGTTAAATTCATGCCCTTCACGGGAGCGAGAGCTCCAGTTCAAATGAAATAAAAAGCTCTTAAGGCACCATTGTCGGTGAGGAGGAAAGTGATCTAAAACCCAAAGTCATGTAATTACAAACTATTAAAAACCTGATGTGCACAGTTTTCTAAGTGATGGATATATAAATGGCAATTAAAAATACTGAACCTATTATAATCACAATAAAATACTCTGAGGTATGCATTATGAGAGATAATGTTCTGTTTGGGTCACGGAATGCACTTAGCTTTACAATGCATTTGCAGGGTGACAGGCCTTGTCCTGTTTTGTTGTCTAATTATAAGGCGAGATGACAGTGATGGAGCATGAAGACTAAAAGAGAGGAGCCGCCACAAATGGACTGTTTTCAAAACTGTCAATTTTCCAGCCAGATTCCTTGGAAGGATTTTATTGGAACTTCAGCAGAGCTTAAATAATATCACTTCTTCCATGTGGGATTACAGACTGTTTCCTATGGTTTGTGATAAAGTTAAACTAAGGGAATGGATTACTCTGTGCGGCTTCTAGAACAGGAACACATAATAATGACAGTATTGGCCAGGTTGGAACCTACATCTCTAAGTGTATATCCGTCTTATGCTGCAGGGGGAAATAATACTATTATTCCACATTGCCTGTTAAACCAACATGGAAAGCTTGTCTACACACACCAGTTATACTATTTTATCTCTACCACTATACATACAGCAGTGCAACCCCTCGTGGGGGTGGGGTATATAGGTATCATCTACACTCATTGTATATTTGCTTTCCACAAGCTACTCTTAGTGATTAATGACTAAGATTTATGAGTGACGTACCTGAATATTTGGATGCTAATAACTAAAGTGTATCGTTAAATTTATTAACCTTAATTTGGAATATTGCGGATTATATACTATATTTATTTTATGACTTTTAAACCAAACTTTGTACTTTTGGTTAATTTAAGCATTATACCCAGATGTATAGACACTCATTCCTTAAGCTGTGTATTAGATAATTTTAACATTTACCTATGGAGTGTGTATACGGACATATTTACATTCACTTCTAGTTAGATACTTCACTAACTTTTACTGGAATAGCTTATTTTACAACAGCTCTGTTTTCAACAATTGAAGCAAAACAAGAACATTAAAGAAGAATCTGACTTTAACAGGAAGTCTTTCTAAAAACAATGGTTTTAAAATGTCAAAATGTTTTTAATAGTTAAACACTTGACTGCATATAGTCATTTGTTATTGTGGGATTCCTCTCAATGCAAGTTCCAGTCATTGCCTCAATCTACAATAAGAGATGCTATGTGCTAGCTTTAAAGATTTGGATAAGCACATAATGGCAGCTTCACTATGCTGTAACAACAGTTAAAGATGGCAAATTAATGGTAACATTTCTTTCCTAGTGTAATTACTTCAAAGTACTAAATACGTGTCCATATAAAGTTACTTATTTTACTTTCAAAACAAAGCTTTAATTTAAAAGAAGAAAAAAGGATTCTATGTAAATATTTAGACGATAGCTTAACTTCATCTTAAAATAACCAGTACTAGCTAAATCATTAGAAGGAAATTGGGTTTCATGTTGGATTATCTCCTTAAGTTTGATTGCTCATGCTCAGAAACAATATATTTTTTAAAAAACCCTCTAATATTTCCTTTTTTTGTCAACAGATTTTTTGTTTTGTTTTTGTCCTCTAAATTAAAACATCAGTTTTTGAGTAGTAGAGGGCAAATCAAGATAGAACCATTACTGATGGCATAAGCTTACCTGGTGATAAGAAATAGAAACAGGCCTGCGAAAAACTATCCATTCCACAATCTCGCTACATGGTGGAGTTGTCAGAGAACCTGTATAGCGATAATAACTTCCCAGTGATGTCGGCAGAAGGTCTCTCAGTACAAAGGGATCCAGAAAGGTCTCTTTTTCTGTAGGAAAGAATAACAAATAAAATTATACATATTTTACATTACTTTAAAACAGATATCATCTTGATGGATGGCTTTAAAATATGCACTGGTTACAATATATTTTATCATAGTTATAAAATATAAAACCATGTTAGAAAGCTTCTTTAAAAGGACACCTGAAATGTTCATCGATCTTGGGCCAAACATTAGTGTTTAATGTAGTGGGTATAACACAGGTGTGAAATGCATTTGTTTTTCCAATTGGTTTCTCTTTTTTTTAACCTTAGGAAATAATATAATATAGTTTTCAGCATGGCAGGAGAGTAGAAACCCATTAAATTGCTCTTCAGCTTAGTAGTCCGTAAAAGTGCAGACCCAGAAAGCTCTATTGGGGGGTGGAGCCAGCACATGTGACATCATGCTCTCTATTGGCCAGTCAGAGAGCAGCATATAAAGTATTGGTCCCACATTAAACAGTAGCTGCAACCCTGAAATAGGGATAGTTACATTACACAATGCGGCTGAGAATGGGGAACCAGAGGCAGGTTGCCCATCCAGTGTTTCGTGGAACTGCTGGGGCTCTGGGAATGAAGAGAAAGCAATGGGTAAGTCTGCAGAATCATTATCATAGAGAGCCTTTGGAAATGTTGCCCCACTCTTAAAATAGTCCCTCTTAATGTGGCTCGCCTCAATGCAAGGTAAGTAAGCAGAGCTGCTGGGCAGCCCTGTTGTTAAGGAACATTGCATATGGCAATTCTTCTTCCTCTGTCTTTTCTTCCAGGCAGGAGAGCACACTGCTGAGGCTGGAGACATCTCCTCCATGCAAATATAGCGTCACTGACTGCCAGTGCACTGAGTTGAGTTACAGGAGTACATTGGGGTGTGGTTCTCTCTCTTACTGTCCACGGAAGAGGAAAGGAATGAGGCCAGCCTTTCTGAAAGCCTTCCCTGTCCTGATCAAACCAGGCATTTCCATAGTCCATCGGTCAGCTTCCATTTCATTCCTGCAGGTCCATCAGAACTCTGAACTGACGGCCTGTCCTACCACCGCTTTCCTTCTGAGGAGGATGTATGACAGTCCTGGTTGTGCATCAAGGTGGGGCGAACATGAGACACTGTTTCCCGGCAGGCCAAAATTACAGAACACATTGTCCCCCGTCACAGACACTTGCTAAACTGCAAGCTTCTCTGATTTCAATTGGTCTCCCAACATTTAGAGCAAGAATTAATGAGGACGTTTCTACTGTAATCACATTTTTCTATGCATCATTTAAAATATATATACTTTTAAATTGTACTCTGCACAGACAAGAGATTGGAACTGATAATCTAATATGTCTTTTCTATCCAACTTCTGTGAGCCTAAAAAGGCAGACAGGCAGGTAGCCAGGCAGCTGGGTTTTGCAGGTCTATTGTATAGTCACATAAAACAGATTTCATCATGTGTAATTCACACAGTCAAAACTGACCTGAAGTCAGTGACATGCAGTGCTGAAAACCTGCATGGTTCATCAACATTCAAAAGAACAATATAGAAGAGGTGCATTTTTATTCTTTGTGGAATTCAATTGTTTCAGGACCTCTTGTTCTCACACTTCACAGACACAGCTTGGAGTAAAACTGACATAACTTCATCTTGAAATCCAAACAAATATATTGTACAAATTCTGATTAATTAATAGCTGCAGTTTTGTAACATTTAAATTTGAAGAACGCACCATAAAAGAAGAAAACAGCTAGAGGCTAGACGGCCTCTCCACTGTTCCTTTGCGGTTATCCCCTGCAGTCTGCATGACTAACGGGCTGAACCTCCCCCTATGTCTATGGAAAAGGTACCAGTAAGGTGCTTAATAAGTGCTTTATGCCTGTGGGCTATCCCAACAATGGAACTTCTCCTTTACAGAGAAAGCATCTTCCCCTTCCTTCCTTCCTTCCTCTGTATGGCTCTATCGTCTCTGGACTTTAAACAAAAGTCCATATTAAGACTGATCCACAATTGTGCTTATCTAGTCTCATCAGAGCTAATGAGCTACCCCACTTCTCCCTACTGGTGGGGTTTCTCATGGTTTAATTGGCTGCAAGGTGATGGGTAGATCTGCTGAAATATGTCCTAAATTAGAACACAGAAAGGCAGGATTAAAAAGCTGCAGAATTCAGTTTCACTAAACCACACAGTTTTCTAGTGGCCTTGATCACATCAAAGGACGGTATATCTATATCCCAGAGCACCATTCCTGTAATCATGATATTTTTCTGTACTGCTGATGAAAGATGTAAATATGTGATGCACGGTAGGCATTTTAGATTCTGCTACATAGCAGCAACAGGTGTGCACTGTCTCTGAAGCCTTCAATACTCAAAAATATGAATAATTCTATTCATGTCAAAGCATATATGCTAAAAGAGCACGGTTGTCTTTTCCTTACTGGATATTTTTTCCATATAATGCAAACAGATATGACAAAAAAAAAAGGCAGGCCATATTTCTGGCCCTTAAACCAAAACATTATTCCTTTATGAAAAAAAAAGTTTGTTTTTAAAAACAGAAATGGTCGAACGTACCACAGACCAAAGTTCAAAAGGGACCCTAACATGCATTTATTAATCATTGCTGTGCTTTTTTTTTTTCCTCAAAGCCAAATTTATATGCGCACAACCTCAAATTCCATTTGCTCAGTTTTACATGTGAAAATTTGATCAGGAAAAACGGTAGGTTCAATTTTAGATTCTGATTTTCAAATGCAGCCTGCATACAACTTTAAAGCAACTAAAAGAAATAGTTTTTAAAAAGGCACACGACTACATGCCTAGCTAATACCTGCAATTGCCTGTATAAATGTGGTATTTTCACGTACAAATGGACAGTTATGACCCCAACAGGCCATTTGGACATGCACATAGCAAAGGCATGGAAATTAGATGTGGTGGGTACGCATTTTTAAAAAATTGTATGGCTTACAAAAGCTTCAGTTATAATTAACAATCTGAATTTTTGACTCCTTTAATCTTTTGTTAGAATGTATGAAAATTTGTAAAATGCTGGACAAAAGTAAACATAAAACAACATACAAGTATGGCATATTCCTTTATTAAAGGACTACTGAAGAATGAAGCTCATATTCTACTTTCAAGGATTTTTGTGCCATACGCTGACAATATTATATTTTAATAATTAATTGTTCATCAAAGGAAAAGAAAAAGAACAGGGATGCTAAATTCAAAGTTATTCAAATTGCAAAAATGAATAATGTATGACTTTTATATTAAATACACACTGTATTAAGTAGTCTACATTTCACCCAAGTCTGTCTTTCATTTTTAAACATTTTGAACTACAACATGAATAATCAACCAAGGGAAGCTTATTTAGACAAAGAAATACCTTATTTGAATGCAAACTGAAAGTATCCTACTATGATTAAATTTTGGTTATCAATTAGGCAGGTTTTTTTAAGTGTCTGGAAAGTCACAGTCAACTGTGAAAGAGAAAATTTCTTGGGGAAAAAAATGTAGCTTTGCTAACTCACAGTTAAAGTGAGGCATGATATATACTGACGAATATTATTTTTAGCTACAAGCAATGTTGTAACTTTTCATTAATAATTCCAAAGATTAAAACAAAGAAAACATATACATTGGATTAAAATATGATAATTAAAATATTAGAAAATAATCAGATGATTAATTGCATTTGCTGTGTTTTAATAACTTCATATTTCATAAAAGTCCATTAATTTTGTATCCAGATGCACAGTATTGGGTTTAAGAACCATGCAATTATAAACATTTCTCAGTTTGAATGCTTTAATTATGTTACAAGAATAGTATATTTATTCGTACCTTCTAGCACAAAGATGCTTAATTTATACAATAATTATCATTGCAATATCCACATAGTGATGCAAACAAGCATTTAGAGTGGCCATCCTTGAAAACTGGCCAGTTTCGCTTCGGAGAAATAGATATTATTTTCAGTATTCTCTGTACTTTCCTATCATTTCCGTAGGAACACTGCTAACATTGAGTAGTTGTCTAATTACTAAGAGGAGCATTTTCAAAAGCACCTAAGTGACTCAGAAGCCTAAGTCCCATTTTCCTTTAAGGACTTAGGAGCCAAAATTTCACTGAAAGTCAGTGGGACTTAGGAGTCTAAGTCCCACTAAGAAGTCATTTTGAAATTAGGACTTAGGTTTCTAAATCAGTTAACTGCTTGTGAAAATTGTATCCTAGATTCCCATTGCGATGTCACTAAGCGTGACTAGTGTGCAGTGTGTAGTCATTTTTTATCCCGTGTCCTTCTACCTATCACTGAAATGCAGTCCTGAACTCTGGAGGGGAAGGCAGCATCTCTTAAAACAGCCTAGGCTTACACTGCACAACAGTGTAGACCAGGAGTCAGCAACCTGTCAGAAGGGCTGTGCCGAGTCTTCATTTATTCACTCTGATTTAAGGTTTCGTGCGCCAGTCATACATTTTAATGTTTTTAGAAGGTCTCTTTCTATAAGTCTATGATATATAGCTAAACTATTGTTGTATGTAAAGTAAATAAATTTTTTAAAAATGTTTAAGAAGCTTCATTTAAAATGAAATTAAAATGCAGAGCCCCCCGGATCGGTGGCCAGAACCCGGGCAGTGTGAGTGCCACTGAAAATCAGCTCGCGTGCCGCCTTCAGCATGTGTGCCATAGGTTGCCTACCCCTGGTTTAGAACAAGACTTTTTACGAGCAAAACTGGAAGGTAATTTAAGGTAGGCAGAAGCATCCATTGCAGCCACTGAACAACTCAACTTGTACTTTTTTTTTTAAATGGAGATGACTTGGTTGGAAAAATTATCTAGCCCCTCCTACCGCCTTATATGGGTCACACCCAGGTTTCCAGCCTCAGTGGCAGGGGGTGGGGAATGAATTGAGTTGGGGTGGGGTCTGTCTGCAGATGAGGGTGAAAACAATTAAACTCGGCGTGAGAACAGGCGTCTTTTTGCAGATGTCCTGAGAAGTCAGGCGCTTACGAAGGTCCGA